GCCCACCATAGGTTTCCTTAGAGATGACCCTGCCCCGCCCCCCAACACACACACACACACACACACACACACACACACAGCTGTGCAGAAGGTAGAGATTCCTCAGTACTGAAAACCTGGCCCGTCCAAGTTAAAGCCTTTTTCCCAGTTCCCTCTTTAGGGCTTCCAAGAGCCCAGGGCCAAAGTGTCGATGCTAGAACAATTCTGGGGGCCTCACAACGTAACAACCCACAAGGGGAGCCACGCTCAGGACTGGGTCCTAGCACTCTTGAGTGCCCTTTAAATATCACACTCGCCACCAAGCACTCAACTTCCTCTTGGAGTTTTTGGTGTATTTGCTCTTCTTTCCTTCCTCCTTCAGGTTCCAATTTTGAGGTAAACGCCATCCCCCACCTGCCTACACACAGAACCATTCAACTTGGGGCAGTACAGACCACCCCCCCTCCCCAGGGAGATGAGGTGGGGGAAATCTAGAGCAGAAGTTCTTAATCTTTCTTATATCCTGTACCTCTTCATCAATCAGATGAAACCTGTGGAGCCCTTCTTCAAATAATGCTTTTTAAATGCTTTAAAAATGCTTTTTACTTTTTAAAGTAAAACACAGAAGATTACAAAGAAAATCAACTGTGTTGAAATCGTTATCAAAATATTAAAAAAAAAACATGTTCATAGACCCCCCCAAGTTAAGAATCCTTCATCTAGAGAAACAGCAAAGAAATAGGGGGCCTGGAGTGAATTCAATTCAACAGATTTTGTTAAGCATCTATTATGTGCTAGGTATAATGAATAACCCACCGAGAACGCTGAGGACCTACCGAGTTCCCAACCTTGGGCTAGGGCAGAGAGTCAGAAACAGATCAAACATTCCTGGGCCTCAGGGAACTCAGCATCACCCTGGAAAAATAAGATGCAATTAGGAATATACAAGACAAATCATGAGTACCAAGCGAGCAGTCCGGACACTGAATGTGTTTTTATTTTGTTTTGTTTTTTAGTAAATAGTATTTCATTTTTTCTAATCACCAGACACTGAAGTCAGAGGAGCCTACCTTTCCAGACGTTTTTCTGTACTCTTCTTTCCCACCGTCTATCATATAGCCCATCTGGCCTGTTTACTGGTCTCCCTGCACTACATTCCAATCTCCCACCTTCACACCTCACCCAAGCTATGTTCCCCCTGCTTGGAATGTCCTCTTCCTTACTTTTGCCTCTGAATCCTTGCCTCCAAGGTTCAGTCAAGATTCTATCTCCTTAGAGACCAATTCTGATTTCCCTATTTGCTAGTGCTCTCTCTGAAATTATTTTGCATTAGCTTCTCTGAGTTGTATATTGTTTTCCCCAATAGAATGTAAAGTCTTTGAGGGAAGAGACTGGTGGTTGGTTTTTTGGTGGGGTTTTTTTTTTGGTCTTTCAACCTCAGAACCTTGCACATTCCTGGCATATGCTTGGTGCTTAATATATGCTTGTGATCCTAGTGCTTGGAAGTTGTTTTTGTTCAGTTGTTTCAGTTGTGTCCAACTTTTCGTGACACCCATTTGGGGTTCTTGGCAAAAATACTGGAATGATTTGCCATTTCCTCTTCCGGTTCATTTTTACAGATGAGGAAACTGAGGTGAACAGGGTTAAGTGACTTGCCCAGAGTCACACAGCTAGTAAGTATCTGAGGCCAGACTCATCTTGCTGATCCTCATCTTCCAGTACCGTCCAGGTTCTATCCACCGCAACATCTAACTTCCTGGTATAGATCTATAATGTGAGAGGCTGATGATACATATTTCTAAATTCCCATAGCTCAGGTCAAAGTAACCTCTAGGGAGAGCTGGTCCAATCTCTTAGGGGGAAAATGGTGGGGAAACTTTACGGAGAAGGCACAGAGGAATGTGGCCTGTGGCCTTGGGTCTCATCTGTGTCTCATCACTCTTCATCCATCCCCTCGACCTCCACTTACTGGACAATCTGGCCCTTTCCTTCCCTCGTGTCCTCCATTATTGGCTCCAATGGTGAGCAAGCTAGAGCCTTGAGCCCCCACTGATGTCTGCTCGAAATTGATAACACTTAGCCTAGCGTGTGTCTGCTGGTATGGGGGCCAAGGGGAAAAGGGAGAGTTCACATTCGTTTGTGTACGTGTGTTAGCGTACACGTGTCTGCGCTTGCAGAAAGGGATGTTGTACCTGTGTTTTCCTGTTTGTGCTAGGGGTGGGGAGGGGTGTCAGGGGTACAGGAGTGGAGAACTGTGTCCTGCCCCACCTGACCCAGAACCCACAAAGAACATGACGCCTTTGTTCTAATCAACACCTTTGAGAGCGACTTCCTCCAAACCACAGGCCACGTCAGCTGCGTGTGCAGCCCCACCAGATAGAGTGCGTGTCTGCGGTGAGGCACATGTGTCGGCCCCCGTATGCACCTCGAACTTTGTTCCCCTGGTGGAAGGCAGTGGGGAGGTGGAGGAGACCAAGACAGGAAAGACCCAGACCATCTAGAAAGTGGAGACAGAGGGGACAAATGGTAAGTGATGAGACAGAAAGACCCAGAAGCCCAGGCCACAGCCTTGTTTTGGTTTTCAAGATAGGGATCTCTTACCCCAATGACGTTTGTTTCCCCTGTGTCACACTCTGAGAGGTCTGGCACAATCCTTCTCCCCTGCCCCCACCCCTAAAAGAAAGAACCTTTGGTGCCTTTGAAACTACAGGCTGTCTTAGCTTTCCTTCCTCCAGTCAAGGCTCAGCCTGGATCGGGGGGATCAGACATGGTTGGGATAGATTGGCCAGAAAACTCCTCAACAGGCTCAGCACCCCAAAGGAGCAGAACAGATGCACATCAGTTTCACAAGAGGAAAATCCATTCCTGCAGTAATCCTGATCACTATGCAAAGTGTCCCAAAATTATTAGTGCAATTTTAAGTTTTAATGCAGCTTTGAGTATATCGCTCTACAAGAGGATTCTTTGCTTCCTATAGAATTCTCAGACAAAAGGATGCCTCCTTGGGGAGGGCAAAAGAAGAAAAGGATGCTAAGCCTGCCCTCAAGAAGCCCACGCTCATTCTCATTCTCTCTCTCTCTCTCTCTCTCTCTCTTTCTCTCTCTTATTCTCTCTTTCTGAGGAGGCCAGACTCATGCTCTCGTAAAATAGTGAAATAACCATAGAGGACAGGATATGAGTAACTTCCAGATTGCCTGGAACAGACAGCATATAGTGTAGGAGTCAGAGAAGATAAGGACTAGTGTGGGTCTGGTGGTGGTCAGGGAAAGCTTCCTGGAGGAGGCAGAGTTAAACTTGGCCTTGAAGGATGGATGGAAATAATAGCAACTCACATTGAGGTGTTGTGTACGTTAAGGCCTAATTCAATGGAAAGGACCTCGGAAAGGATTTGTTTCAGAAGCTCTTGGTTTGATTTCCAGACCTGGTTTGAAATGCAGCCTTCCAGTTGTTAGCTTTGTAACTTTCTGGGTCTCGGTTCTCTTATCTCTATAGTGAAGCTGTCCCTACATGTAGCATGAGGGAGTCATTGAGTTTCTCATAGGAAGGCAGAATAGGCATCTCTAAAAAAGGAACACGCATACAGTCCCAGCTCAGTGTTCTTCCCCAACCTTTCTGCAAGGACACTTTAATTCCTGACAGGAGGGTTAACAGGAGGTTGAGGCCAGAAAGTTGGCCACTCTACTCTCCTCAAAGAGAAGAGGTACTGGGCTAGAATTATATCTATCTGCTCCCCTAAAAAGTATTAGTCTAGGCAGAGGTTCCCAAACTTATTTGGCCTACCACCCTCTTTTAAAAAAAAATTACTCAGCGTCCCCCTGGAAATCTACTTTCTTGAACCCTTTAATGACTTTTTTTTAAATTTTTGTCATTTCAAAAATATATAAAATATTTTTTTAAAAAATGATGCACTTCAAACGTAATAATTTATTGTAAATTTATGGGGTTTTTCCTGCATTGAAATTTTGATGGTGCAATATTGCGCCATGTAACCATACAGTATCATATTGTGAACAAGTCATGCACATATTCCAGCCAATGCATGCTGGACTTCCTGACAACACGCAGCAAGCTTGCCTGCCAACACATGCTTATTAAGACCTGTCAGTAGATTTGACCACTGATCAGTTACAACTTGCATTTTGTGTGTTTATTTAGAAAATAATGTAATCACTACAACTTCAGCTCTGTTACACAATGGATGAAACATGTACCAGCGGTTTTTCAAATTTTTCTTATCTTTTCTTCTTTCCTCATGCTTCCACTGTCCCCTTATTTTTATTCAATGCTCCCAATTGCACCGAAGGCTACTACTGTACCGCCAATCATTTCAGTGCGCTCCCAGGGGGTGGTATTGCCCACTTTGGGAACGTCTGTTAGGAGACATAATTTTCAGGTCCAAGCTAACTTCTGGTGGCTATTTTGTTATTGGGGAAAGCAGAAGCCCAAGATCTATATCCAAGGCTTGATTCTCTTCCCACCAAATACTAGTTCCACAATGAACACATGTAGCAAATAGTGAAGGAACCCATTTATCCAAGTCAATAGCAAAACAGAAATCAGAAAAAGTCTACATAAAAGAATATAAATCAGACAGTACAGAATCAATTGAATTCAATTCAATAAACATTTATTAAGTGCCAGGCACTGTGCTAAGTGCTAAAAATACAAAAAGAGACAAAAGACAATCCTTGCCCTCAAAGAGCTTACAATCTAACGAAGGAGTTCCTCCCTCATCGGAGACAAGGTAACAACTCAACCAAGACAGAGAGAGTCCCAGAACTCAACCAAAGGGGAAAGTTCCCCAAGGTCTCTAGTGTGACACGCTGAGAATAGGGACATGATAGAGACTGCTAGCTCTTCTCCTGTCTGCTTCTTCTCAGTCTTATTCTCATTTCAGGAGACTGAAGTGGGGTTGGAATCATCCATCTTCTCTCTTGAAGCTGGACACGAGAAGTGCCCAAAGCTATTGCAGAGACATAAGAGACTGAAGGGCCAGAAGAAACACACATGTCACCAACTCTGCCCCATCCCTCACCCAGGGCCCAGGGCACTGATTTCCACCAAGAGAAGACAGTCCCATACCAATGGGTTTCAGGACTCAGATTACATCTGTAAAATAAATAAACAAACAAACAAGTAAGTAAATAGGTCAGATCAGATGCCCTCTGCAATCAGATGGTCCTCTGGTTAACATGGTGTAAGGTTTTTGCAGAAGGAGATAGGGAAAAGGTCATTCCTCAATTTCTTGCACTTGACATTCTACCCAAGCTGGCCTACTAGCAATTCTCTGCACTTGAAATTCCATCTGCTATCTTCGTGCTTTCACACAGGCTGTCCCACATTCCTGGAATGTTTTCTCTCCTCACCTCTGCCTTACAGAATATCTCCCTCCCTCAATGCTGAGCTGAGGTGACACTTCCTCCCTGACCCTACCACCCCAGTTGTTAGCTCTCTTCCTTCTCAAATTACCTTGGATTTACTTCGCTTGCGCATTTGTTGTATTCCTCTAGAACAGGGGTTCTTAACCCAGAGTCCAAAAACCCCTATGAGATATTTCAGGAGGCTCATGAACTTGGATAGCAAAAAACACATCTTTGTTTTTACTATACTCTAATTAAATTTTTGCATTACCTTCAATTATTTTAAAACATTCTTATGTGGGTATTTGTTTTACTTGATTATGCATATTTCTTGCGAGGATTTTGCTTTTCTTCTCTTTTGAGAGAGAAAACTGACTTTTGTTAATAAAACTGGTGGGAGGAAGGATCAGGGCTTTATTAAGCATATCCTACAGTGCCAGGCATTATGCTAAGAGCTTTACAAATATTATCTCACTTGATCCTCACAGCAACCATGGAAGGTAGATGTTATTGTTGCCCCCATTTTACAACTGAGAAAACTAAGGCAGACAGAGATTAAATAATTTCTCAGGGTCACACAGCCAATAAGTGACTGAAGCTAGATTTGAACTCAGGTCTTCTTGACTCCAGACCCAGTGCTCTATCCACTTCACCACCTGGTTGCCTAGGTGATGTGTGAGCTAAAGTTGTTCTGCCTTCCTGACATCTCTCCTACATATCCCCTTCTCTATTCTGGCGCAGCTGTTACTCTGGTACAAGGCTCATCACCTCCCTCCTGGACTATGGTAATAACCTTAGAGTTGATCTTGCCTCAAATCTTTCCCTACCTCAGTCCATCCTTTGCTCAGCTGCCAAAGTGATTTTCCCAACGCACAAGTCTGACCATGTCACCCCCTCTTCATTATTGTGAGAAGAGATTTGTGACATTGTGAGAAGATATTATGAGGCATCGTTCAACAGACTTCCAAAGGGGTCCACGACATGAAAAAAGGCTAAGAATTCCTGCCCCAGAAGAATTGACGGCCAAAACTGTTTTCATCTTTGTCTCTGCATCCCGTACAGCCCAGCACAGTGCCTTTCACAGAGGAAGTATTTAATACGTATTTATTGAGTCAAGTTGATTCCTTATGAGAGAGGCCTTTATTTGCCAACAGATGGGAGGAGTGTCCCTCCCCACCCTTGTAACAACTACTTCCCTTGTAGTTTATAACCTTGTTTTGAAAAATGAAGAGAAATAGAATCCTGTTCACCTCTCACATCTCGATTTCCTTTCCCAGGGTCTCTGCTGAGGAGCTGAAAGTATACTTGGGCTACTCCATGAGCAGGGACAAAATCAGTCCCTGTGGTAGGAGCAAAGTCAGGTTTTGCTGAGTAGGTCCCTGCCTTAGTCATTTCCAGAATCAACTGGTCTTCACAAATACAGGATGTTCCAAAAGTCTTAGTATTGTGGTAAGAAAAAAAAAGCTTAAGTTGCACTAAGACTTTTGCGACACCCTATCTAGCTCCTAGAGCAGAGCAATGAAGACTATAAGAAGAACAAAAGGGATGTGTGCTGAAACTATTTAGGGTAAATCTTTTTGTGGTGTCAAAGAACTGGAAACTAAGTAGGTTCCCATCAACTGGAGAATGATGGAGCAAAATGTCTATTAATGTACTGCAATAGTATCAAATCATGACAAATGAACAAAGGGATAGTTTCAGAAAAATCTCAGAAGACTTGCATGAACTGATGCAGAGTGAAATAAGCAGAAGCAGGAGAACAATTGATACAATAACAACTTTGAAAGACTGAAGAACTCTGATAATATATTGACCAACCACAGCTCCAGAAGAAGCGTGGCACCCATCTCCTAACAGACAGGTGATAGACTCAGGGTACAGATTGAGAACTACGACTCGGTCAGTGCAGTCATTTGTTTTGCTTACCTATGCATAGTTGTTATAAGAGGTTTTTTTTTTTTCCTTTCATTTGGGAGAATGGGAAAGAAGGATAGGATAACAGTCAGCCTTTGACTAAATCCAAACTTCATAGAACAAATCACAGAACAAATTTGTTCTGTAAAACTTGGACTCAGTCAAAAGGCTGCACCCAAGGACCTAGAAGGCCACATGTGGCTTCAAGGCCACAGGCTCCCCACCCCTGGGAAAACCCTTCTCCCTCCCCTCCAAAAAAAAAGAAAAGAAAAAGAGAATCACTGAAAGATTAAAAAAAAAAAAAGATGCACAGCAAAGAACAGAAGACCAGAATTACAGATAAGGACAACTTTGAAAGTTAGATGATAAATTTATTGTATATTTCAAAAGATAAATGAAGTGAACATAAAAGAAACTTACAGGTTTACATACAATCCTTTTTTCTATCCTGCTATGTATATGGAAACACTTATTTTATTTGACTTGTGTGAAGTTCAGAATAAAAAAAGATGTTTAGGGAATAACAGGGCAGAACTTTGAAAGAAGAAACACAGTTCCATCACCTACTAAGTTATAAAGCCTGAACAATCCTGCCTCTGATGCTTACAATTTGTGTGACCTTGGACAAGTCAGTTTACCTTAATGGGTCTCAGTTTCCTCATCTGTAAAATAAGTTGGCTTCTAAGAACCCTTCCAGCTCCTATGATTCAAGGGGGAATCATTAGTCAATGCCCTGCTCAAGGCCCTCTGCCTCCAGAAAGTCCCCTGGGATTACTTTATCTCTTCTGGAGCTCTCTTCCAGCAATTAGACGCTCTACCCCTTAATTTTACACTGCCTTGTATTACTTCACAGCTGTTTTCTATCCTCCCCTAGGGCCCAAACCAATTCTCCTCCAAGCCAAGCATTGGTTATGCAGTGAATTTCAGTATAGACTCTAGGAATGTTAGGACTGGAAAACACTGGCAAAATTATTTTGTTCAACCCTCTCTTTCTACAAGTGAGGAAACTGAGGCCCAGAGGAATTAAATGACGTTCCTAAGGCAGGGGGATGTTGGACCAACTTGAATGGGTTCCAAACCCAATTGTGAAATTTTCTGTGTGAGTGTTGAGATCACAGAAATTGACAAAAGATACAAAACAGGGTTTGATTTATCCTTTTGTTGATTGCCTAGACTTAAGAGAGTGATAGGGAAAATGTTAATCATGCTGATTAAACTAAAAAGTGTGTCTGGCATACATTGTGGAGAGCTAGTTGTTAAACATTTACCAGCACAGCACTGGCCCAAGGTCATAGAAGAAGTTAACAAACGCTTTGGGGGGTGGATTTGATTGAATTGAACTGAAATGAAGTGAAATGGGAGGGACAAATAGGAGCTGACAATGGTGGGGAAGGAGAGGAGACAAGTAGAACTTTACTTAGGGCTGCATACTTCATGTGGACTATGTGGCAAGCATAGACCTCTATCTGCAAAACTCAGAATTAGGTATAGGGGTAGAGTCAGAGAGAAACAGAGAAGGGGAGAGAGAGAGAAAGAGAGAAACAAAGGGAGAAAGAGACAAGGGTGGAAAGAGTGAAGACCAAAAAAAGAGACACACATAGAGCCCCAGTTCAATGTGCGGCCTGACTCAGCCCCCCCTTGGGACACACGTGGGCTGCACGTTCCATACCTTATGCCAGGCCTGCCCTTGGAGGCTGCTGCGTCTGTGATGCGGTCAATGAAGGCCGCCAGACAGGGCCTCTGGCAAAACTAGAGAGATGTGTAGGTGGGGTAGTGGAAAGAAGCAAAAGTCAGGCCAAACATCTGAAACCCATCAGGCCTTCTTTCTCCTCTTTCCTCTTCTCAGGATCCAGCTCAGCCAGGGCAATTTAATTGCTGTTGGCCCAGCCCACCCTTCCATTCTCTCCCTGGGAAGGATGGAGCCTCAGCTGGCAGAGAAAGAGGAAGGGGATAGAGGAGGAGAGGGCCAAGAGAGGGAGGAGATGACTTAAGGCCTGGCTTCCAGACTAGTGGGGAAACTGAAATTTCTCAACCCTAGAAGATCCACTCAATCCCTCTGTTAAAGGGCCTTGGTTTATGGAAATGTCCAGGATCATCTGAACACCAGCCAGCTGCCTGGGATTAGCCCTCTAAGTCAGGAGGATTGGCTTTCTGACAGTTTAAGGGGCTGCCAAAGTGGCCCCCTTTCAGGACAGAGCAGTTTTAACAGGTTAGGAACCTACTTTTGTACTTCCATCAAAGTATCAAAGGATCTGGAGCTAGGAGAGACCTTAGAGATCATTTGGCCTAACCCTTTGTAGATGAAGAGCTAAGGCCCAGTGAGATCCAAGTGGCTGGTGCATAGGAAAAGGGAGAATAAGGAGAGTGTGGATTCCCACTCAAGTCCTCTTGTCCCAAATGCAGTGTTTCTTCCCCAACCACTGTGTTCTAAGAGTACAATATAGTTAAAAGAACAATGTCTCTGTAGTCAGAGGTCCTAGATTCAAATGCTGCCTCTATGGATGCTTTGGGCAGGTCCTAACCTTCCTGGATTTCAGTTCCCTAATCTGTAAAATGAAGTGTTTGGACTAGATGATCTGTGAGGTCCCTTCCAAAACAAGTTCTATGATCCTATGAACTCCTATTCTCAAATGCCCTGACTCCACTCAGAGACCTCAAGTCAATTCAACAAGCATTTATTAAGCACCTACTATGTGCCAGGCACTGTGCTAAGTGTTAGGGATACAAGGAAAGGCAAAAGACAGCCCTTACTCTCAAAGAGTTCACATTGTAATAAGGGAAACAATATGCAAACAACTATATACAAACAAGATATATATGGGATAAAATGGAGAT